CGTCGCGGCAGTGCGTGAAAGGGGGCGCCGCTCAGGGGGCGCCCCAGGTTTTTTTTTGTTTTTGTTTTTGTTGGTGTTGTTGTTGTTGTTGTTGTTGTTGTTGTTGTTGTGTTGTTTTTCTCCTCCTAGTTGCTATTCAGTTGCTAAATAGTTGCTAATTAGTTGTTCTATATGTTTTCTCTAGTTGCGAATTATTCTCGTTATGAAACTTCAATGACCTGAATTAGTTTCTTACGAGAAATGATTGGCAATAGGAGAAACATAAATTACAACTAATTAGCAATTGTTTAGCAACTGGATAGCAACTGGGAAAAACGCAAGGTTGGCGCGCTAGTTCCGCCCAGGGACAGCAGACGCGCCCCGTTCTCATCCAGGCGTCGGGGGGCGGTCTGCTCAGCCGCCGTGCTGGCCACCAGGGTGGCGCCGCCCGTTCGATGGTTCGAACTGCGCAAAGCATCGTGTCCATGTCGACGTCTGCGGCGTCGTCATCTGGGGGCAGCAGTGCTGCGTGCACTCGGCGCCCCAACTCCCGCGTGCTTGGCTGATGGTGCGTCGCGTGCGGGCGTTATCGCATGCTTGCGCGTTCACGTCGGAATGGAGCTCTCGCCGTACGGTGCGCACTGCGCTTTTTGTATCCAAGAGGTTCATCTCATCCCGCCGACCCCACAAGGTTTTTTCTTAATATAATCACAATGTTTTTGGCGATACGGGTCTGGACAGGAATGACTTAGTAGAGGACCATCAGCGCCATGGTATGGGATGGGTGGGAGGGGTAGGACGTCATATACGACGCGAGCGCACTTAGCTTGCCTTTTCGCCGTTCGGCGGTCACTGCGTTTTTTATTCAACAGGTTCACGCCATTCCGCCGACCCGACTCTACTTGCCCAACGAAGTTTTTTGCCATTATCATGACTTTTTGGCGACGCGTGTCTGGGCAGGAATGCCTACGGCCAGTCATTGGCATTCCCCAACCTCATTCATGGCGCGATATCGTCCCAAGCGCGGTTCGCACACACTCCCGTGATTTTCCGCAGAAATTATTCTGACGGATTGACGGAGTGCTCGCTGCTACCCGAGGGAGGGTTCGGAGTCCGTGAGAGGGTTTAACTGGAGCGAGTTTGGACACACGTGTTTTATTGTTTTTATTTTTTTACGGGGCAAGTCGATTGCAAGTGGGGGGGGCCTGGTCCCAGGGTAGCCGGGTTGCACATTTCGTGTTTGAAAAAAGGAGAAACTATAGTTTTTTTTTTGTCGGGGTTTTGCGGGGCCCATTTTGAGAGAAGGTGGCGTGTGTCGTTTTCCTTCGAGCCTTCCTTCGGGAAGCAGGGGCGATTCCATCAATTTGCAAGCATACCTTCGGCAGGACAGCTCAAGAGAGAGTGTGTGTGTGTGTGTAAACCGCGCTTGGAACGGTATCGTTCCCAGGCGGCACGGTGGGCCGACGCTTGCGCTCCCTCTCTCGATTCCTATCGCGAAACCATATGTTTCCAACAAGAAGTTTCCGAGTCGAGTTTTTTCTGCACGTGACGTTTATTTGTGTGTTGCGATCCTGGCTTAGAGCCCGAATACAAGAGGTAAATCGATAATATATTTTGGAATGGTCGTTTCGTTGTTCATTTCTGTAACGAAGCGCATATGTTTTCACAACGGGGTTCCAGTTTGTTGCGTTTTTTTTGTTTCTTTGGATCGGGGCCCCGGTTCGGAGCTCGAATCCAAGAGGTAAATCGACAATTTATGTTGGAATGGTCGTTTCGTTGTTGAATTCTTTAGCAAAGCGCATATGTTTGCACCACGGGATTCCGGTTTGTTGCGTATTCGTTTTTTTGTATTTCTTTGGATCGGGACCCCGGCTCGGAGCCGGAATCCAAAAGGCACATCGACAATATATTTTGAAAGGGTCGTTTCGCTGTTGATTTCTATTGTAAAACGCATACGCTTGCACCACGGGATTCCGGTTTGTTGCGTTTTCTTTTTCTGTATTTCTTTGGATCGGGACCCCGGCTCGGAGCCCGAATCCAAGAGGTACATCGACAATATATTGTGGAAGGGTTGTTTCGCTGTTGATTTCTATCGTAAAATGCATATGTTTGCACCACGGGATTCCGGTTTGTTGCGTTTTCTTTTTTTGTATTTCTTTGGATCGGGACCCCGGCTCGGAGCCCGAATCCAAGAGGTAAATCGACAATATATTTTCGAATGGTCGTTTCGTTTGTGATTTCTATAGCAACACGCATAAGTTTTCACCACGGGATTCCGGTTTGTTGCGTATTCGTTTTTTGGTTTCTTTTGAGTGGGACCCCGGCTCAGGGCTGGAATCCAAGAGGTTTCTTTTGATTGGGACCCCGGTTCAGCGCCCGAATCGAAACGTTTATTGTTATCCGCCGTGGAGCCCCTCAAGAGCCAGAGGAGGCCGAACCTGTTGTCCCCAGGGGAGCCCCCCAAGAGCTGAGGAGGTTTGACGCCCCCTCCTCACCTTTCCCCTCCCTGGCCGGTGAACGT